CTATATATATATACACACACACACACCCGATAATATAATATTAATTACGTACGATATATATATATGTGTGTGTGTGTATGTATATGTATATGACAGGGTGGTGAGGAATTAAAGTGTTTTGCTTTGTAGCAGGCATTAGTCAAAGCTTCATGTCTCACCGTTTTTCTTCGGTCTTCACTCAATTCACCTACCACCGTCCACCTGCACCCCCACACATGCATGTGTGTGTGTATATATATATATATACATACATACATACATACATATAACTCTTTGCAGTATCCCTTCATAGTCATAATTAACCTCACACGTTTCTTATCCCCACACACACGTACGTACGTATACGTATAGATACACATACACGTATACATACAGAGACACAGTGACGGAGCCAAAAAATTAATGCAGAAAAAAATGACTGTTATTATTTTTATAAAATATATATGTTATTATTTTTTTTCTTACGTTAATTAAAATTATAATTAAATTTAAATTTTAAAATATTAAAATAATTATTTTTAAAAAAAAATATTTAAGAACGTTAGTAATTAAAAATAATTATTTTTTTGAATCCCGTTTTTTCTTTTAATTAAAATACTAATTTTTTAGTTATTGAAATTAAGAAATGAAATAATTTATTAAATATATTAAATACTGACTCAGTTCGGTCAAACGCAGAAAAAAAAAAAAAGAAGAATCTGGGTGGGGGCCATCTGATGGTGATATGCGGGTGATGTAATCTGACGGCCCAGGAAACGAGAAAAGGTCATCGGACTTAAATGGCTAAGATGGTCCCACATCAGCGTCGCGCAACGAACATCACGTTATCTCGACCGTCCATTGCAGGGAGGATAACAGCGTAGTGGGGCCCACGCGACATTGACCGCGAACTTTCAAATTAAACAGCTCAGCCGGTGGGGACGGTTGAGTGAGCCCCACTGGAAAGAAGAGGATTGGAACAACTTTAAGCAGAACAGAACAAAACGTAACGGAACGGAACGGAACATAATTTTACGTGTTCCTGTGTAGCGTCGGTTCATTGACCATTATCAACATTCCCCAATCTACACCGTATATTTTATCCATCCGTACACTAGTACGATGATCTAGCGGTCAAACTTTTTACTTTTTAATTTAAAATTTATAAAATATAAATATATTATAAATTAATAATAATTAATTTAATAAAGTTATAAATTAATTCATTAATATATTAATAGAACTATAGTATATAAATTAAATTTTATTAATTTTTATAATTACAAACGTATTATATATGAATTTTCTCACTTACTTCAAATATATATATATATATATAAAATCTAAAATATTTTTATGTGGGTTAAAATTATATCTTTCGGTATATATAAATTACGTAATCATTTAAATACTTATATTATTGATCACGATTTAATTCAATTTATTCAGTATATTTTTATTAATACAACTAATAATTTAATAAAAAATCGTTAGTTGTACTTGATAACTACAGTCCCGTCAATACATTAGTAAATTAAGTTATCAATTATATTTAACTTAACTTGATAACTGTAATCTCACTAAAACGTTAGTGAATTAAATTATGAATTATATTAAATTAAATATTATAAATCGTTCGACAGCGAACTTCATATATTGTTAAGTAAAATTTAAACTCGGTTAAAATAAAATTCAATATATTACCATACAAGATTTTAACATTCGAGTAGAATAGTAACTACAATAAGAACTTGTCAAGCAAGGAAATGGATATTGAAGTGATGTTTGGTACTTTTCCTACTTGTCAAACAAGATTCTATAAGTCAACCGTCAATATAAGATCAAAAAAGAATTCATTTCTTACTTGGTAAAAGATTTACAAATCAACCCAACTATATATATATATATATATACACATATATGTGTATATATACATATATAAGAATTTGTCAAAGCATGTGTTTTTCCTTTGTTTATTTTTTTAAAAAATATCTACTTTTTATATATTAATTGAAAAGACCATTTTCAATATTTAAAAATTTACTCGTTAATTAAATTACGCGTACATTCATTATTATTATTATCATTTAAATGTTTTCGTTATACTGACTATTTGATTATAACATAATATAAATGATATTTAAATAAAAATATATATATTAAATTTAAACCCATAATATTTTATATATAAAAAAAGAGGTATATCAACTATTTAGTTAATAAATAATTACAAATTTTAAAATAAATTTATATTATTGAATTTATAATTCGAGTTGAAATTTTATCCTTAATATCTCAAAACAAAACTCTTAACATTGATATATGTATATATGTATGTATATATATTTACCATATTAAAAAATCATCCAACCACATATATATATATGTGTGTGTGTGGTCACATAAGATGAAAGATAATCAAAATATGTAAGTAATCTTAAAATTCAGTGTATGTAAAGCAAATTAATAACTAATATTAATGCTTAATAAGATGTGATTACCAAACATTAACCCTAATTTTGACCAACCATAACAACGCGGTTATGGTTTAATTAAGTAGGGTTTTAACCTATTTTAACATTATCACTATAGCTAGTTGGTTATATGTATAGGTGTATGTATATATATATATATGTATCTATGCAAACTACACCTAATAAGGTCTACGAATACATAGATATACATATATTAATTTATTATAGGGTTAATTGTTTGCTTGTAATGAAAAGCAATTAATGCAATTAATTAAGACCATGCAAATTGCCATGCAAATTCATGCTGGTCCCTTTTACAAGTTGTGTTGACTTCTATTGTAAGTATTGATTTTAAGATAAATATTACAGGGTCTTGACATTTACATACATATATATATATGTATATATATAGTGGAAGAATATCTAAATATCAAGATTGCCCAAATTGCAAGTGAATTATAAATTTTAATTTAAATTGACTTTAACTTCTAATCCAAAAAATTGGGGTTGACTTTTAATTTTAATTGGGGGGGGGGGGGGGAGGGAAGTCAATATGGAAATACCCAATAAATTTCCTTAATTAGTCAATCTAATGTGAATTTATAATTAATAAAATTACATATTCAAATGAAACAGAAACACATGTTAAGTGGGTTATTAATTACCAATTGAATTATTAATTAATTAATTAATTAAGCACATGGTATAATTAATTTCATTATAATGGTATTTTAAAATATGTATTTCTAAATTATAATTTATATATATATATATATAAACACAATCATGCATGCCCATATGAACAAATTAGACAAAGCATAAACATGTTTAGTGATAATTAGTGAATAAACCCTAACAAATTAGGGTTTAAGCATTTGTTTAAAGGAACCCAATCAAATAAATCAATGATAGAGTAGTCCTCTTACATACATACATACATATATATATATAGATTCATTATTCTTTATATTTCAAATATATTTTTACTTCTTAAAAAATAATAAAATATCATATTTTTTATATAAATTAATTATAATGCTTGTGATATTTTTTATTAATCAACTTTTTTTTTTTTTAAAAAAAAGATAATCAATAGAGAGATGTTCATGGACCATCACATGATTTTTGAGTTATGCCCTAGTTGATGCATCACCATCCCATGTCTCACCCCTCCCCTCCATGCATATATAATT